GAGTTTATTTTATTTAACGGGTATAGTATTATTTAAGTTCTGATCATTAAAAAAATATAAATAAATAATAAATTTAATTTATTGTAGGAGATTAGATCTTAAGAGATAATTGGACATTAGTGTGTTTATTAGTAATTTTCGTTTTTTACAGCTATTTATTTGTTGAATTTGTTTATTGGATTATTCAGTATGGTGATTGAAATACAAATAACGAAGAATCATTTTTGTAATTAAAAGGCGAGGTAAGTAAAATAATTGTTTATAAATGTCAAGACAATTGAATAAATAACAATATTAGATTTTGTCTTTAGGTATTATCAGAAATTGAGTTATTTTGGATGTTTCCATATCAAAGAAGAAAAAAACATTGGTTTCTGGAAAATATGTAATTATAAATAATCATACATAACCGATAATGGAGTTATATATGTATAGTTAATAATTGTTAACAATTTATTAGGCATTATGAAGCTTCGATTGATGAACTCAAAAATTTAGTAACAAAGTTCGAAATGAAACCTATGAAGAAGCATCTAATCCAAAGTTATCTTCAACTATTTTTAAAATTACAAAAATGGATGAAGAGACTGTCGACATGAAAATTAATAATTTTGATAAAAAAAAAAATAAACTTGAAAATAAAATTGAAAATCTAATAAATCTGATAGATGAAGATAACATTTAATAATTAGCCGTTTTATTTATTATGTTAACTGAGCGAGGAAAGACAGCTGTTATGGTGTGCTAATTTGATAATATTGATATAATTGCTAATATATTGTTAGATATAATGAAATGGTATCTTTTTACTATGTAAGTGAATAAGTAAGCTTTATTAAAAAAAAAATAGATATTACTATTAAAATTATCGACAATTAAAAACAATTTTGAAAGATGTTTATGGATTAATTAAAAACAATTTTGAAAGATGTTTATGGATTAATTAAAAACTTAAGATATATAGTGTTTTTTAATATATAGTTGGTGAAAAAGCGGCAGCATTAAGTATTGAAAAGTATCTTCTTCAAATAGTATCGGAGTATGTACTATTCAATTGTAAATTCTACCATTGTCAGAAGTGTTGTGTGGTATCCTGTGGTGCCATTCATATTGCAATTTTTTAATTCTTTCGTTCAAACCTTCTACATTACAAGAATTTAGCACGCCGGAAAATCTATTGCTAAATGTATCGGAGTATGTACTATTCAATTGTAAATTCTACCTTTGTCAGAAGTGTTGTGTGGTATCCTGTGGTGCCATTCATATTGCAATTTTTTAATTCTTACGTTCAAACCTTCTACCTTACAAGAATCTAGCATGCCGAAAAAATCTATTGCTGAATTGAAAGCACTAAATTATGATAAGACTGATACCATTAAAAAAAATCTTATCAATGACAGTGTTATCAATGACGATATTAATAAACAATTAAAACTACAAGAACAATCCTATTAATGATGGAGGTATCAATAACGACAATAATTTAGATTTACGACTTTCTCTTTTAGAACGGTTAAAACGACTAAACTTTTCTCGGTTCCAGAAGATTCATCTCGATTAATTTCGGCTAAACTTTTATTACTGATCGATTCTTCTACAGAAAATAATGGAAATAAGCTTAATAATTCTTTTGGAAAGGACAGTTCATTGCAAAAAATAATTCATGAGAATCAAAATAACGATAAAGCTATTGATTTAGTTCATCCTGAACCTGTTCATTCAAAACAATCTTCTCAATTCAATTCATCATCTAATTGTTTAAATCATGCAACTTAATCTGATCCCTCGATAGGTAGTCCTAATCAAACTAATACCAGTAATATAAATAATAGAAGTGTTTCATTTGATTCTATTACAAATGTAGTAGATTTTACGATTGGTGATGAAGAACAGATTGATGCTACGATTGTTAATACTGAACCAACAAAAAGTATCTATGAAAATTATTAGTTCAGAAACAGAATTATATCAAGAAATTAAACCGTTTATGAAGATGTTAAAAGGACTATAGATAATTTTTATTATTACTGTTTGCAAATTTTTGTAAATTTTGGGATTTCTGATTTTATATAAAGGGCAATTTTAACGCCCATTGCAGGTGAAATTCATCGGGTATGTTGTTTCTCAAAACAGCTTTGATAATCGATATTGTTATACTAAGTAAAAGTGTCCAACACCCTAAAAAACCCTAACTTTTACCTTAATTTAAGCATTAGGCCCTAACACTAAGGTTTAATTTTAGCTTTAAAATTTGTGGTAAAATTTTCTATATATCATATAATAATAATTAACAACATATCATGGTGAATTTCACCTCCGGTAAATACTAAATAAATTCATTATTAACTTATTATGTCTTATAAAATCTTACATAATATAAATCTAATCTGAAGTTTTAAAAAAAAAAAAAATTAGAAGTCGGAAATCAATCGCTTTTTTTTTTTTTTTTTTTTTTGATCTGTTATATGTATGCCGGTTCCTGGTTGACTTCCCGAAGTCCATTTTTCTGAAATAACATTTCACAGAAGTCGTAATACTGACAATCCATTTTACTAACAGGACATAATTGGATCCGTGTCATTTCACCGACAATTCACTGATAGCTCATTTCATCGACAAGCTTTCCTAACAATTGCACTAACCTAACTCAAATCAAACTGACCCTAACGACAATGATCGGAATTACTTTTCGATGAAATGACTGTCGGTGAACGTATGTTCAATAATGATGTTATTGGATAGTTAATATGACCATGTGAAGTTTTTTCTGTGATATTTTGAAATAAACTGTCGGAAAAAGGGATATCGAATTATGTGGTCAGAGAAATAGCATTTCGGGAAAATGACTTCAGAAAGTGTGCAACAATGACATAGTCCAGTCGCCGCAGAAAATAACGGTCAATTAAGGTTTTAATAAAATACTGTACCGCAAAAATAAAAATTTTTTATGTGATTCACATTTACATCTACTTTAATTTTTCATTATAAATTATCTTACAAATTTTACATGTTTACTATATAACTATGCATATAACTGGTGTGCACGTATGCGTATGAAATAAAAACTACGAGTACTATAAATATTTAACAATGTTCAGTACTATACTAACGGGGTTCTAAGTTGATGCACTATTGTTAAATTATGTTATGTTCGTTTGATTATAAATGCCCAGATTTTTTATATCAAGTTAACTCATTGCGATTTGTTCTCGAATATGTAATTAAAGGTTCATTCAATAAATTTATCGGCTTAGTAGTACTCTTTAGAATGTTCGGTTTGTTTAAAAGTGAGTTGCAGAATGTAGTAACAAAAGTGTCAAGCACTTTTAGGCATTTTTTAAATCAAGCATGAGCATGCGCTATTGATACAATTCTTTAGTATAAATGTCCAAATCTATTATTAAGCCATGGCCTTTCATGCAGTCTTTATTTAAAAATACTAAAACTTATCTAGTGATTCACCCCGAAAACTTTGCAAATATTATAAAGCTTAGATCAGCATATTTGCATATTTTATAACATTTTCATTGTTAATTACTTAGTTTTTACAAAACAACATAATTTTGGTCAAATGTTATAGTCTTAATGATTTTGGATCTTTCGTCAAGACACTTATTAATTATGTAAATTTGCGTGTACTTATATATATATATATATATATATGAGTCTTTCATTTCTTATAAAGTTTCCCAAAATCCAGAAAATTTTTTACGGAATTTTGTAAAAAGATTCCGCTAATAATTTATTCTTTAAATATAGATTATTAGAAGTATTTGATTAAAAATTCTTCAATAAATCAAAAGGGTTTTTTATAAAAAGCTTCTTGAAATGGTTTGATTCCAATCAAGGTTCAAAGAGACTAAAGTATCATTTCTGCAAAGGGCCTCTGCTAATACTTCTTCACCCTCAGTACCAAAGTAATTATCATAAAGAAATAAGGAAGTTAGAGTAGTGTTTTTACAAAGAGCTTCTGCCAACACCTTTCCTTCTTTAATACCAAGTTGATTGTTACTAAGATCTAAGGAACTTAATGCGATGTTATTACTAAGAGCTTCTGATATTACTTTTACCCCTTCAAAACCAATTTCATTATTTCCAATATCTAGAGAAGTCAAAACTGTGTTCTTATAAAGAGCCTTTATTATCACTTTAATTCCTTCAAAACCGAGTTTATTAGAATAAAGATCCAAGGTGGTTAAAGAAGAATTTCTATAAAGAGCTTCTGCCAAAGCTTCGCCTCCTTTAACGCCAAGTTTATTGCCATCAAGATTTAAAGAAGTTAAAGAAGTATTTTTATAAAGAGCTTCTGCAAGTGCTTTTACGCCTTCAAAATCAAATTGATTATAACTAAGTTCTAATGAGGTCAAACTGGTGTTTTTGTAGAGAGCTTCTGCAATTGCTTTTACTCCTTCATTTCCGAGTTGGTTAAGGGAAAGTTTTAGGAAGGATAAAGTTTTGTTTTCAAAGAGAGCCTCTGCCAATACTTTTGCTTCCTTAGAAGAAAGTCTACAATCATAAATTTTTAATGAAGTTAAACAAGTATCCTTACAAAGAGCATCTGCTAGTGATCTTAATTCTTCAAGACTAAATTTAATTTGAGAAAAATCCAATAACGTAATAGTGGTGTTTTTATAAAGAATTTCTAATAATATCTCTATTACTTTGCTATCGTCGATTTCGTCCATATTTAAATATTTAATATTTCTACTGGTTCGTAATAACATTGAAATTAATGAATATTTCGCTAATTGAACAGTATTCTTGAATTCTTTATATTTATCATAATATTCATTAAAGTTACGGGGTTCATGTCCTTTACGACAAAGCCAGTTTACAATTCCCTTTTCTAAGCTATAACAATTAATAGATTTGATATAAAATGTGTAGTCAAATAATGGTTTTGGACAATTTAAAGGTAATATATTTAATGGAATCAATGGTGCCTTTTCTTCTTCATTCAATAATAAAAGATATATTTTTATAAGTTTTCTATCTTTGCAACGTAATAATGGATCATTCCATAATATTGGAATAATATTTCTACACCATTGACGGTTTACGAGAAGACATGAAAATAAGGATTTATTATGGTTTTTTAGGTTATTAAGTATTTCAAAAAGACATTCATTTGGCAATGCTATCATTATGAAAAAATAAAAAATAAAAATAAAAAGTAAGAAAATTGCGTAGTATCAACTAAAAATTGCCTAAGGAAAAATTGCAGTTATTTCCAGAGTATAAAAGAGGAATAAGTAAAGCGATACGATGTCAATGTTAATCTCTGGTACAGTTAAATATGTATATCAGTTGCCCTGACTTTTGTACCACCTATGGAATTTTCTAGTACAATTTCTACAGTTTTATTATTAATGGATGACGAAACATTCATCGTTGATTAATGACAAAACCATTCCGTCAGGTAACTTCAATTTGAACGAATTGACAAATGATAAATATTTTATGTAATATAACATTTAAGTAAAAAAAGGAGGTTTCTCCTATGGGAATCATTGAAAAGTTAATGCCCACAAAATGACGATAATGCATTACGACACAATAATGCATATCGAGGCACAAATACAGTAAATAAATTAAACCTCAAAATTCAGCTTGAACTGCATACTATTCAAACATTAATGGTGCCTGACGAATACGTAGTAAAACTTTCGTCATTGACTTAAGACGAATTGATGAAAATGAAAACTATGACCAATAATGAAACCTGTGACGATTGATGAAGATCATCATAATAAAAATAAATTATTTCACGTGAAATTATTATTCATTACGTATCTTATCTATTTTTTTTTGACAATGATTTGCATTAATCACCCGGATCTATCCGAAGAAAATTACTGTGAGATCTGAAATTTTTATACATCACCTATAAAAATTCCTATGCATATCATGTGACCAAAACAACATTTGATCGTTGTACAAAAACAATTAATATAAGGCCGCGCAAAGTCGATTTTTCGTTTTGCATTACATGGTTTTCAAAATTTCGGTCGGCGGGCGGATTTTTTTT